GGAGATTTCGAAAAAAAGAATCGCGAGGGTCTAGGGTTTAGGGTTTAGGGTTTCTGGAAACCCTTTGGATTTCGGCCAAAATGGTATTAATGGACACCAAATGGCGCACCCAAGAAGGCTGAGGAGATTTCGAAAAAAAAGAAGAGACAATTTGCTGCAGTCGAGTGTACAGCAGCAGCAGCTGCGTCAAGACCTGACAAGCAAAAAGCAAAAATAGTTTTATTTCAAATAAATAAATAAATGAATAAATAAATAAAGGAATAATTTGTTGCTTTATTCATTTAAATTTGAGTATTGGTTTAAACCCATTTCAAAGGGAATAAATTAATTGAAGGATTGAATGACAGAGGAATGGTGCTAAAAGAAAAATTAAATAAAATGATCAAATTGAGATTTGAATTAAGACAAATAAACTGGAAAGAAAATGGAGACAAAAAGGGACATAGTGGGAAAAAAGAAAAAGAAAAAAGAGAAAAAAAAGAAACAAAAAAGGGGCAAAAGAGAGACAAATAGGGGACAAAAAGGAAACAAAAAGGAAACGAAAAAGAAGAACAAAAGGAGATAAAAGGGAGGCATGATAGAGAAAAAAAAGGAACAAACAAGACAGAAAAAGGAGACAAAAAGTGGACGAAAAGGAGACCAAAAATGACAAAAAAGAGACAAAGACGACACCGAAAAGCGCCAAAAAATAAACAAAAAGGAGATTTAAAAAGCAACAAAAAGGAGACAGAAAGGAGACAGAAAGGGAGCCAGAAGGGGGATAAAAAGGGACAAAAAAGAGAACAAAAAGGACAGAAAAGGAAAAAAGAAATAATTGGTGCAAATGGGACTTGTTTGAGGATCTCCAAAGCATTGGAAACATTTGGAAAAGACGCGAGAGCCTCTTGGTGGAGTAGAGACAGCTGAAGTCGCCAACTGCTGCTGAACTCCAACACCTAAAAAGAATAAAATAAAAAGATTTAAAAGAGATTAAAAAAGATAACATGAGATTAAATGAGATTAAAAGGCATTAAAAGGTGATTTAATGAGATTAAATGAGACAAAAAGATACTTAAAAGGGATTAAATGAGATTAAATGAGACAAAAAGGGATTAAATGAGATAAAAAGATTAAAAATTGATTAAATGAGATTAAAAATATTTAAAAGAGATTAAATGAGACTAAATGAGATAAAAGAGATAAAGAAGATTTAAAAGAGATTAAAAGAGATTAAGTGAGATTAAATGAGATAAAAGAGACTTAAAAGATATTAATTGAGATTAAGTGAGACAAAAAGAGACTAAAATGAGATTAAAAGAGACAAACAGAGATTAAATGAGATTAAATGAAATAAAAAGAAATTAAAGAGAGATTAAATGAGATTAAAGGATTAAAAAGATATTGAAAGAGATTGAAAGATATAAAAAGATAGAGAAGACAAAAAAGATAAAAAAGATAAAAGAGATTAAAAGAAGAGATTAAAAGAGATTAAAAGAGGAAGGTAAAAAAGAAAAAGATAAAAATAAATAAATAAATAAAAATAAAAGTTAAAAGGTAAAAGTTAAAATAAAAAGATAAAAATAAAATTAAAAAATAAAAAAGAAACAAAAAAGCGAAAAGAGCAGCACTTACTGCATTCTCGATGAGTTGAGGATCTATGGCTGCTGCTGCTGCTGCTGCTGCTGTGTCTGTTGCTGCCGTTGCTGCTGCTGTTCCTGCTGCTGCTGCTGCTGCTGGGGTTTGAGCAGCAAGGGCCTCTTCAGCTGTATATACACCCCAGACTAAGTGGGGAAAGCGCCGCTGCAGCTGCAGGTGTACGTACACCGTAACTTGCTCCCACAGCAGCTGCTCGAGCCTGAAATAATAAATCATTTCAATTAAATCAATTAATTTAATTAATTTAATTTATTTAATTTATTTAATGCATCTAATTCATTTAATTCATTTTAATTGCCTTAATTTAATTAACTTAAATTGTTTCAATTCATTTAAGTTCATTTTAACAGTTTTGACTTTTTTAAAATTACTATTGTGTCGAATGTATCAATTTTTAAATCAATTAAATCAATTATTAAACCATTTTAATCAATTTAAGGAATAATTAAATCATTTTAATCAATTCAAACAGTTTTAAATCTTTTGAATTTATTTAAACAGTTTTAGATCAATTAAATCAACAATTAAATCAAACAATTGATCCAGGAGACAACAGAGACAAACAAGACAATAAAACGAATAAAATAAAAGACAAATAAATAAATTAAATAAACAATTAACTAAATGAATTAAATAATAAACAAACAAACAAATAAATAAATAATAAATAAATAAATAAAGTCTCACGAGTTGGCGAGTTGGGGAAGAACTTGTTTTTGATGAAGGAGAGAAATGAAAAGATCCAAATTGTTTAAAAGACTCACTTGGCGAACTACACCACTTAAACATAAAGATAAACCCTAATTGCACAAACCCTAAACCCTAAACCCTAAACCCTAAACCCTAGACCCTAGACCCTAAAACGCGGGCCACAAATCCCAAACCCTAGTTCACAAAGCACAAGCCCCAAGCCACAAACCACAAATTTTAAACACTGGGCCCGAAGCCCTAAACCACGAAATAGGGTTTGGGATTGCCAGGTGGGGCGCTAAACCCCAAAAAAGGGTTTGGGGATCGTCTAACCCCAAAAAGGAATTAAAGGGAATTAACAGGAGACGAATATGTCAAAAAGGAGACAGAAAAATAAAAAAAGAAACAGAAAGAATAATGAAAAAAAAACAAAAAATGGAAATAAAAGGAGACAGAAAACTCAAAAAAAAGGGAAAAGGTTTTATAAAAGTTCATCAAGTAAAAGCCAGAAAGGTAAAAAGATGAAGAAAAAGATAAACTAAAGATTAAAAAAAAAAAAATAGAATCAAAAGGAAAGATAAAAAAGAAGAAAACAAAAATAAAGAAAGAAAGATTAAAAAGATGAAAGATAAAATAGAAGAAAACAAAAAAAAGGATAAAAAAGAAAACAAAAATAAAAGATAAAAAAGATAAAATAAAGATAAAAAAGAAGGAAACACAAATAAAAAACGAAGATAAGAAAGATACAATAAAGATAAAGAAGAAAACAAAAATAAAAGAAAAAAGAAAAAAAGACTAAAAAAAAATCACTGTGGGAAAAGAAAAGGACCCAAAGTGGGGATTAAAGAGCTCGAAAAAAACCAAAACAAACCCCAAACAAACAAAACAAACAAAATAAATAAACAAACAAATAAATGAATAAATAAATAAATAAAATAAATAAATAAAAATGTTTTACATGCAGCAACTCCAAAGTGGTTTGCTGCAGCTCCTCGAGGCCCTTAGCCAGGCGGGAGGGGCCCAAGGGGGGCAAAGAGCCAAAAGGGCCTTCTAGAAAGGAAATTGTGGAAATTAATTCTGAAAAATTAAATAAATAAATAAATAAATAGAAAAGGAAATAATGAAAAAGAACACAAAGAAAGCTTTCAAATGCGTGAAAAACCAAACAAAATGAACACAAATTAATTGAGTTTCAACAAAAAAAAAAATTAATTTAAAGGAATTAATCATGTTTTTAATTAACTCATTTTAATTTAATTCAACAACAAATTAAATCAGCAGCAGCAGTGCAGCAGCTGCAATGCGGTAGCAGCAATGCAGCAGCAATGCAGCAGCATTGCAGCAGCAGGAATGCGGCAACAGCAGCAGCAATGCAGCAGCAGCAGCAGCAGCAAAGCAGCAGCAGCAGCCTCACCTCCGACACTGCGGATAAGGGGGTTCGGTCCAGCAGCAGCAGCATCAGCATTTTGGGGCCCCTCTTCAGCTACTGCAGCAGCGGGGGGCCCCCTGGGGGGGCCCCCTGGGGGCCCTCCTGGGGGGGCCCCGGGGGGCCCCCCAGGCAGACCCAAAGGGGGGCCCCCAGGGGCCCAGGGGGCCCCCGGAGGGGCCCCCGAGGGACCCCCCGGGGGGCCCCCCCCGGGGCCCCGCGCGCCCCGGGGGGGGG